AGCAGGAAACTGCTGAAACACAAACTACCATCGTGCTGTACATCTTTGCTTGTAACTCATTTGAATGAATTGTATTTTGACGCTGCAAACACCTGAAATATTTGGTTGGCAGGTTCTGCAAGGTGACTTGAAAAATGTAGATTGAAAACAGCCTGTAGCTGCTATAGAGTTCTGTTGAAGTCCATGCTGTCTGCACCTCTGGATACGCTTTATCCCATCACGGATCTCTCTCCTGTCCTATTGCCACCAACTCCAGAACAGATACCAGCTTTGCCACACAGCATCTCCCCGTGAGAAATGCAGCCGCCAGAGTTATAAAACTGCAAGGAGTGCATATTGCACTCCCTGAAAGCAGCTTATATTCTTCTACAAGATGGCCTGTCTACATGTATTTACTCTTTACCATAAATATAGTCTCCACATTCCAAAATTATTCATAAAATTGGTACCCAGTCTAAAGCCCCGAGCTTGGTTCTCCTGACAACAGCAAGGGTTACAAGCCATGGGGGCTCATCTATACACCCACTTAGGTTGGGAACAGTCAATTGCTTGAACCTACTCCTCTCCTTTCCCGTGTGCAAGACAGATCTCCAGTGCACATTCCCTCTTCTCCAAGGCAGCTGACCTCCACCTCACCAGTGCAACATGCTGACAGATGCTAGTGACTACATGGCTCCAGCCTGGTACCATAACAAAGCAGACAGACATTTTAAAGTCCTCAGCACCTCATGTGAAAGCAACTTCACGCTTCAAAACACACTTCACTTCAAAACCTGAACCACGTCCAAAAGGATAAAATTTATAGCAGAAGGAACTTTTTTGTACCACCCTACCTGGTGACAAGTTACATACATTTGCAGGCACCTTCTACATCTTTTTAGTTTTCTGAATACAGGATGGATCTCAGCAAACCTTTTTTCTGCCAGCTGAGGTCCTGGCCTCTTACGTACCTCCTTTGGGGCTTGGCATGGCCCCTGGTATTTGTTTCATTTCCTGGCTGCTTGCCATGAGACGTATTTGTAGGGCTTCCATCACCATGGAGGGTCTGCTGCCCTGCCTTTGCCATCCAGCAACAACCCAGCTGGCGAGACGTGTCCCAGAGCTGCGGACGCAGCTCACTGGCTGATCCTGCCTGGATCAGGGTGAAGCAGGCTTGCTGTGGCCATCCCCATCCTCAAGGTGACAGAAAGCTGATGTGTCTCAGGAGCGCTGCATTGTGGAAAGCAAGGGAAAAAACCGAGGTGAATTACCTTTGTGAGTTATTTTTTCAGATATGAAAGCAATCAACTGATAAAACGCAGCCTAGATACATCTTGTGCAGAGATAACGACTGGACAAACAGAGCCGTGTGGTTTCCTAGATAGGTATTTCCTGCTGGTTTTGAGCACTTCAGTACAGATTCTACACAAAACTTTAAAAAATGTTTTGGCTTTCTTTTACCTGTTTAAGATATTTAATGAAGGGACTGTTCAGGACTCTAGCATAAATTTAGTTTGGCTGGTTGCGTTTGGTGCATTGGGTAAGACCCAAATCACAGTAAGCAGCCAGGAAGCTGCAACATGTTTATCCCAAGGAGTGTTAATGGAAAGGCTTGTTTGATTTATTCTGTTTAATCAAATAAAAAGAATTTTGCATTTAGTGGGTGTGTGTTGCACAATCAGATTTATTTTATCAGGAGAAACCGTTCCCTCTGGGTCTATTGAAACAATGTAATACATCATGCCAGCAGTTATGATGTGGACCTATCGTATGTGCCCTGCCATCACTGAAATAGAAAACAGTAACTTTCCTGAGAGCTGCGTCTCCACAAAGTGTCACGTCACCCTCTGGACATTTCCCCGCCCCCCTTTTTTTTTAATTTTGTCTGTGTGTTAGTTTTCTTTCACCAGCCTCTGTTAAAGCTGGCTTTTATTTCTCTTGTAATCAGAAAAGCTTGTCATTCGGAGCACAGCCGCATGCCTGCATTGTTCTAGCCTAGCTTTGCAAATAAGCAGAGCTTTTGCATTTTACTGAAACGACCACCCGTCTTCCTCTGCACAACTCAACCTTCCCATGCCATTTACATCCAGATTTCATGCAGTACCATTCTGGTTCAAGAAACGCGTGATGTTTGCACGCTTCAGTGATGCTCTAGCCATGGTCATCCTCAGCCTCGAGCCAGAAATGTGCTGCAAGCCACTGGTGGTGAAACGCTGCGTGAAGTCTGGGTGGTGCTCCTGAGCTTGCTTGGTGACATGTGATGTATGGATACTGCGAGTGAACTGGAGACAGAAGAAAACCACTGGTGATGTACAAGAAAATACATGTATACACAACCCTCTGCAGCTGGGATGCAATCCACTGGCTCAATGAAAAGGTAAGAGGAGGTGGGAGCAGAAGGCAAATCAAAGCAAAGACAGGGTCTCTCCTTTCCCTTGAGCTGTGCTGGCTCCAACCCCTCCTTTTGCACCGAGGACTCCAAAGAAGCAGGGCTGGCCTCCCTTCTGTGAGCACAGCCGTCGCCAGCCCCAAGGCTGAGTTGGGAAACAACCCCGGGCGCTTGTCCCGTGTCGTTCAGGCAGCAGAAGAAAGCACTGAGGTTGAAACTCCAAGTCCTGTTGGACCTCAAATACAGACAAACGCTGTTTCTTCAAAAAGTGCCAGGGAAAGGCATTCACACAAAGCTACATTAGAACAAGCATCCTTCTGGTTGAGTAACCAAGCGTCAGAAATACAGGGCACGCAATATTTCCAGATCTTCTAAAACCCTGCCGTGACCTCCTGGGCCCATGCAATACACTAAAGCCCACCCTACAGGACACCAGAAGGGGTCCTCACAAGGAGCCCTTCTCTTATTCAGCACAACAGAGCAGATAGAAACGAAGACTGCAATACAGCTGTGTACAGAGGCAGAGCTGGGGTGTCCTGACAGGCCAGTGGTTGGTTCCACAAAGGAAAATGCTGTCTTTTTCACTTGATACAGCGGAATCTTTGCAAAGAGCTATCAACCCTCAATGGAAAGATGGTGTTTCACTTCCTTAAAATTGATGATGGGAGAAGACCATCTCCTTAGGCTGTGACACAAGTCCTGGTTATCCCACAGAGTTATGCCTCTTATCCTTGTGTGGGGCTTTCATTATGCTGCTGTTCCCCATTGCTACGAAATGGTTCAGTTCATACCACATTATTTACATTGTCATTTCATGTTTTCTTTTTATTTTCTCCTTACAGGATTGTGCTAAGTATCTTCTAAGAGCAGTGCATTCTGCACCACTCTTGGCGTGAGGGGTATGCATCTCCTCTGTATCTCTCAGTTTGACGCTGGGAGACTTTGCTGTACCTGGAGACCCACAGTCCTCCCCCAAGGACCTAGGTGTGTCTAGGATAAACTCTGCATGAGTGCTTTCATAAATCAATACACCTTGATTAAAAACATGCACACTGCTGGGCTGACCGAAGAAAGCTTTTGTGAAAAGGTTGTTCTACGGCTTGGCGGGAGCAGGATATCCTGGAATTTCAGCTGACGTCCATACCCAGCTATTGTGCGAATACAGAGGTATAAAGAGACCTTGCCTTACCTGGACTGGAGGGGAGAGGCTGCAGCAAGGACACCCCTGTCGAAGCATCAGCAGGAGCTGCCAGGTGAGAGACCAGTTCTGAGTAAATGGCTCTTTATGAGACTGTCTTGTCTCTGAGGAGGACCAGGCATTTCTTTTCTGTCCGTGTACCTGCTCTTTGTGGGTCGGCTTTTGCTAGATGTGATTGCTGGTTATTACACCACTGAGCTGTACCCAAAGGAGGAGGACTGCTTGGCCAAAACCACTACCATGCACAGAGATCTCGCATGATAAAAGGGGCTGCTGACCGAACAGAGGGCACCTGCTGCCCCATGGCTATTTCAGCCTGCATTTTCCAAGTCACCTACCAGGCTGCAAGGCCTGCAAATAGAGATGACCTGATCTGCAACACTCCTCTGAGCCATTCCAGAGGCTCCCCAAGCTTCTGCTCAAGTGTTAGCCTTGAACTTAGCAGGGAGATGAATGTTTCATGGGTCTCTCTTCTCTGCTTCAAACTTTCGAGTATTTGTCAAATTCTGCCTGCCTGAGCTGATCCTTTCTCTCTCAGTTTTCGCCAGCCAGGAGCATGCACGCCTTTACATTCCTGTGTTCTCTCCTTCTCTGCAATGGCATGGCGGTGGCTGCACACAAAATGATCCAGAGGCTCCCTGATGAAGAGGAAGAAAGCCCAGCTTGGATACGGACCCCGCAGACTCTGTCTCGAGGTGAGCAGCTGCGATGCTTACAGCAGTCCTGAAGCACCCCCATTTCCCTCTGTCACGGTGGCTAGCGTGCACCCCCACCCATATATCCAGGCAGGTGAAACTCTGAGAGCAGTGGCTGGGAGATCCCCCGCTGTGTTCCCATTCCGAAGCAGAAGCCCAGACCCACCTTTCACAGGTGCCATTTCCACCGTGGCCAAGAGCACTGGTGCATTCAGCAGGGGTAAAGTCCTCACGCTCTGTGCTTGGGAACAGGTACAGGTGCTTTGCTCCAAACCTGGGCTGCGGATGGAGCCAAGAGCCAAGCTGTCACACTAGCTCCTGA